AAAATTGAATTTGTTATTTCTAGTTGTATCTATGTTCTTCTTTTTCTTTCCTCTTCTTTTTTTTTTTTTTTTTTTTTGTCGTCCAATACTTTTTAAATAAATGATCAAATTTCAGATTAGAAATGCTGACATTGAAAGTAACAGGATTTACATTGTTATTGGTAACGCTTGCATATTGCAAAATGCAAACAGTCACAGTGAAAGGACAAGTGGCATGCAGTGATAAATCGGTTAATAATGTTCATATTGAATTACGAGAAGCTGATACATGTTAGATTTTCTTGAATATTTTACTATTTATTTTAATTTTTAATTTTATCTGCATCTTCCAGGAAATAATCAATCATTTTGTCTTATATGCTAAATGATCAAAAAATTACAAACATAACCTGAATTGAACCGTACAAAATTATTCATCTCAGATTATTCTCTGATCTTTTCTTAATGCATCACTTATTCAATTTATATGTCCTTCAAATGTCCTAAGCTATATTAATTTAATTCTAAACTAAAACTTTCTTTCATAATTACAAAATTTTTGTCCGGTAGTTAAGATTGGCATAAAATTTTTGCCGTACATTAGTTAATCCATAGTTTAGTCAATATTTGAAATTCAGTTCTATGAATAGAAAATGAAAACTTTTGAAGTTAGTAGAGCAGCTTTTTTAAAAATAAATTGTTCAAGGGATGAAATAACTATATTTCATTTCATAATTCGTGTGAAACTTTAAAGGGGATCCTGACGATTCACTTTCTGCAACTCATTCTGATCGACAAGGACGTTTTGAAGTGAGTGGACAAGAAGATGAAATAGGCAGTATTGAGCCTTATTTACGCATTACTCATAGCTGCAGCGATGGTGTCATCGATCCAGTAAGTTTCGAATAAATTACCCGATAAAACTTTAATCATTCCAATGATGAAATGATATCATGGAATGAAAGGTTTTCATCAACGGATTAAAACTTTCCTTCGATGCTTGCACTTCGTTTTTGATAGTGATAAAATTTAAAGCTAAAAAAAAAAAAAAAAAAGAAGAAGTTTAAAAGAACAAAGAGCATTGAGAGGAAGACAATTCCATGAGATAAATATGACTTTTTAAATTTTTAGCACTGATCGAAACATAAAGGCAAGAAAAATTCGTTCCTTCTTCAATTTCCATTTACGAAATGTAATCATTTCAGAAATGTAGGGTTGTGGACGATTATATAATCCCAAAAGATTACATCAATGATATCTATAACATGGGTATCGTTAGTCTGAATATCGCTCAAGAAGGCAGGAAGAAGAATTGTGCTTAAAGATATATTATATTTTTATGACTATTAACGTATTTATTCATGTTGAAACTATAATTACCTTTAAATTCAATGATTTTTAATAAATTTTTTTATTACAATGATTGACTAATATTACTGTACACACTTTAGTGACTTATAAATGATAGAAAAGATTGATCAGATAAAAGGGTGGAAAAAAAAAAAAAAACTAGATAAATGCATGAATTGCTCATAAGAGCACATCTGTTCTTGCTGATGTAATTGCATACTGGACACAGTTAAACGCTGCAATTGAAAAATACACCCGTTAAAATTAAAAAAAAAAAAAAGAAAAAGAAAAAACTTGTTAAAAACAAATTATTCGTATTTTGTACTGGTCAACGTCTAATTTCGATTTTTTAAATTACCTAATTTAATTTCTTCTAATACTCAGAAAATTTCCACCATCCTGTTACGATTAATACAGTTAAAAAAAAAAACGATTACTTTC